GTTATATTGGATTGATGATAAATTATCGTTCTTAGCTTCAAGATTTAAAAAAATTAAATTGTCCATTGGATATGATGAATCGTCTTTTTAAAAAAAAATTATCATCGTACAATTGAAACTAGTGTCGTTATAACAGCTGATCAGATTTTTCAAAAACGGCTAAAATTCAATATTCCATCTTGCTCATAAATGGCACATAGGATTGAAGATCTTTTGGCGCGAAATCTCGACGCTTAGAGCAATAATTTTCCTGGCTATAATATTGAGGTTAGCCGTTTTTAAAAATCGTCGCAAAACGGCCGTTTGACAACACTAGTCTATATGTTAGCGTCGCGTGTTTTTTACTTTAAAATTTTTAAAAATCGGATTTTTACCGGAAATATATTCTATTCATGTTTGGAATACCTTTGCCATGAACTTTTGAACTCAATATAATTTTATATTGAGTTTTTTATATTGAGTTTTTTATATTGAGTTTTTTATATTGAGTTTTTTATATTGAGTTTTTTATATTGAGTTTTTTATATTGAGTTTTTTATATTGAGTTTTTTATATTGAGTTTTTTATATTGAGTTTTTTATATTGAGTTTTTTATATTGAGTTTTTTATATTGAGTTTTTTATATTGAGTTTTTTATATTGAGTTTTTTATATTGAGTTGAGTTTTTTATATTGAGTTTTTTATATTGAGTTTTTTATATTGAGTTTTTTATATTGAGTTTTTTATATTGAGTTTTTTATATTGAGTTTTTTATATTGAGTTTTTTATATTGAGTTTTTTATATTGAGTTTTTTATATTGAGTTGAGTTTTTTATATTGAGTTTTTTATATTGAGTTTTTTATATTGAGTTTTTTTGCATAGATTTTTCACGTAAATAAATTATAAATGACTCCGAAGGTTAACGATAAAAATTATTCTACAATAAAAACACATGGCCGTTAGCATGTATATTAAAATAAATTAGTCGATTCAATAAAATAATAATTTTCGTATAATATTTTTATATTAAAAATACAATAATTAAAAAAATTTATATCATAAAAATATTAATATATAATAACAATCCCTATTATAGCTCTGATTCCTTAGTAAGAACAGAAATTAGAAAAAAAGATTTTAGAATTCCTAATATTACTAATAACCCCCATCCCATTGTTTCTGACACAATCAGTGTTTTTTGGACCCAGAGAAAATGATTTTTTTTTTCAAGGCACTCGCCCCCCCCCCCCCAAAAATGAGCTTAATTTTGGGGTTTTCCTACAGGAAGGCTTTTTACATTACTTCAGCGAATTTCAACTGAAATTTGTGGGTCTCGTAGTACATCAATCCGCTGTGCTGTGCTGTGCCAACACCTAGATGCACCTTTTCATGTTCATTTTTTAAAAATACATTACATTAAAAAAATAAGGTAATAATTATATATACATATTTTATTTTTATATAGCATTTATCTTTTATCATAAATTGTGATCGTTTTTTAAAATGTCAAATTAAATTATAACCATTCGCTTCGCTAGTTCCTTTTAGGTACGCGGAGCGCGTATATTATACATCCCTAGCGAGGAGCACGTCACTGTTTATAATATTACGGGATGGACAAATCCTTATACACAAATGAAAGAAAGAAAGAAAGAAAGAAAGAAAGAAAGAAGGATTGATTTTAAATCATATGAGGGCTTTCGAGAATTCATGGGCAGGCTTCAATGATCACCATGTTGGTTCCTGTTTCTTTGTCGGAACCGAACCAAGTGAAATGAAATTTATAACTACTACTCCCAATGACATATGATAATACCTAGACTGACGACGCATTCATTAAAAGGGTGTAAAATCAATGAAAAACAGCTGAGGACGCCATTTTGGTTACCCATATCGTTATAAAAAAATTTAAAAGAGAGACCCTGATGACCGCAAACTTTATTAAAGAATTGCCAGATCATCGAGATGATAAGGAAGCGAGTTATCGATTTCATACTAAGTTTGTTAACACGTGATTAATTACTATACGGGTTACCAAAATGGCGGGTCCATCTGATTTGCATTCAATGACACCCGTCAGTCTGGGTATCATTATATGTCATCGACTACCTCCTTAATTCATATTTTATTTACAAATATTTTTTTTAAATATAAATTTTTTAAAAAAATCCTAAAAAAATTCGCGTCATAATAAATGATTTAGGTCGTTTAAATATATCGAATTTCCTAACCCTACGGTTAAATAAACCAATCAAAGTTTTTAATTAAAATATCTCTCATCCAATAGGCAATTGAGCAAACTCACAGAAATTTAAAAAAAAAATTCTGATTTCTAACTTATATTTAAGTTTGTGCTTTATACAAAATTATATAAAATTAATTAATATTATTTTATTTTTAATATTTTTTCTTTATTTTTTGTTTACTCATTTCTTAATTTATGAGAATTAATATATTTTATTTTTTAAAAAAAATTTCTATATTTTTTTTAAAAATCAATAAATTATAAATATCCTTTAAATTGTGAAAAAAATAAATATTTTTATTAATATCTTAAACTTAAAAAATAATCAATTTATTACTTTTTTGTCGGCACAATAAAATTTAAAATGTTTAAACTTATTATTATATAATATAATAACATATGACATATAATAATACCTAGATTCAAATCAGCTGGTTCCGCCATTTTAATAACTAGACTGTCGATGCGTTCATAATAATGCATTTGAAAGCGTCGTTGAATGCAAATCAGCTGGATCCGCCATTTTGGTAACCTACATAGTAATTATTCTAATGTTAAAAACTAATTGATAACACTTGTATTATTCCTGGATGATCAGGCAGTTCTTTAAGAAAGTTAGCGTCAGGACATAGGGTTTAAATTGGCCTCTCGTTTAAAAATTTTTGATAAATGATTATGGGTAACAAAAATGACGTCCCCAGCTGTTTTTCGTCGATGTACACTTTTAACGAATGCATCGTCAGTCTTGGGCATTATAACATGTCATTGGTTCCTACATTGTATAAATATCGCTTATAGGCAGAAGGTCGATTTTTAAGCTTTATTTAGGGGACAAGTTCTCGAATCGTCCATTTAAGTAAAGGGCAACTTCGAAATATTAAATTTGAGGAGTTTTTAAATACTTTCACTCATGTAAATTTTCGAAATAGAAAACTGCTGTTTTTTTTAAGGGGAAGGGAAGGCGTTCCCGAAGCATTCAGAACGGGAAAAAGAGCTTCCCCCCCTCGTCGGAAATGAGAACGGAAACAGGAACTTAAAAAAAAATACTTTTGTTTTCAGGTCGTTCCCCTGAAATTTTATTCACATCCAAATTTAGTATTGAAAATGAGATAGAACCTAATAACTCTTATTGTGTGATCGACATCGGGCCTTATTTCCCAAACCCGACCCGGCCCGAAATATTTTTTCTATTTGCCCCGAAAAGCCTGACTCGATCCGGAACAAAAATTATTCGTCCACTTGACCTAACCCGGCCCGAAATTATTTTTTTTGAAAAATAGGCCCGGATATCCAAACCGGACCGTGATTTCACTAGTATGAATAATATATATTTTAGAATAAGAAAAAATGAAAATTTTATTTCAATTTCATTTTTTTTTGTAATTTTTCCATTCTATTTAAATATGTATTCCCCGAAGGAATAAAAGAAATCCAATTCATAATTCAATTTCAATTAAAAAATGACAAGTGTGTCACTATCATTAGATTCTATCCAGGACCGAAGATAGAACTTTTTGGTTCGGGTATATCAATTCTGTTATTACCAGAGTTGTTGAAAGATACTTTTTAAATGGATCTAGATACAGATACATCGTTTAAAATAATATCTAGATACAGATATTTTAATCAAAAATCTATCTAGATACAGATACCTCAATTTTATATCTAGATACAGGATCTATATGGTTATAACCCAACTCCAATTAGCCTAAAAATAAAAGTGAATTTTTAAAATCTCTAAGTTTGTGAACCTCAGCATTATTCAAATTTTGGATATAAATTTTAAACGATAAAATATTAATATTATAATAATATCATTTTATTTATAGTTAAAATATAAATAATTCGTTAAAAATTTAATGAATTAAGGGATTAACATTTACAAAGGCATAATTTTTTCTTTTATCAAAAAAAACTTATTTTTTTCTGGGAATAGGAAATTTTTATTTGTTTTGTTTAGAGGAGAGTAAAAAAAATACTAGTTGTGTCAATGTCCCTATCTAACCTGTTTTTCTTCTTCAAAGATCTGGGTAGTGTTGTTAAGCGGCTCGTTTTGAGCCGATTCTTGAAAAACGACTAACTCATTATCTAATCCAGAAGAATATTAGGCAAGCCTGAAGATTTTGCTCATAGAAGGAACAAAGGTCTAGGCATATGATCTCGAAATCTCTAAGGACTTAGGCAATATTTTTCTGTCTAAAATATTGAGTTAGCCAAAATCGGCTCAAAAAGTGCCGTTTAACAATACTAGATCTGGGCAAAGATAATGAGATTTTATTTGGTTAAGAGGTTGATATTTTTTTTTTTTCATAATTTAATTCCCTTTTTAAAATTTAAATTTATTTTAAAATAAAATTTTTAAAAAAAAGGCTTTGAAAAGTAAAAAATTACAAGAAAGTAATCATATATAACAAATCAGTTTTATTAATATTCTATTCTTATTATTAATCTGTATTTTTTTTTCCTCCAAAACTTAAGAATAAACGATTTCGCTCAAAGCTAATTACAAAAAAAAAAATTTGTTTTGAATTGATTTGAGAGAAAATAGATTATAATAATAATAATAATAATAATTCTTTTTAATAATTATATTTATTGTTTATTTAAAAACAGTTACTTTTTAAAAAGAAAAAAAAATTTTTTTTTTCGATATTTAATATATTAAATAAATAAATATAAAATATAATATAATATAACCGGGAGTGGAAAGCATAAATTTTGTTAATCAAATATTATTTCATTTGTATATATATATTTTTTTTTAAATTTATTTAGCGGAAAAATAAAATCAGGAAAAAATAAAATTATGGTAAGAAGAAGAAGAAAAAAAATTTTAGTTCTCGAGAGAATAATCATATTTGTCAAATTTTGAAGAAAAAAAAATTAAACGCGATCAGGAGGAAATTTTTGATTCATTATCATTTTTTTAAATGTTCGATACAGAATGTCACGAAGAAGCTAACGTAGCAGGGGTCCAGGATAAGAAGCTTCTCGAAGGCGAAAATTCCAAGGAGAAGGATACTCTCGACGATATAGTCAAAGGTGAAATCACCGCCGACAAAATTGTAGGGGATGACGCCGAAAACCCTTTCAAACTTTCGGAATCCTACGTTTGCGCCGAGGAGGTGTATCTCTGGCTTGACGGCCACTGGGAGGAGTTCGAGGACTACTTCCTCAAGAGAGCCGACCTCAGTCTCATAAACAAATGGCTCAATTTTCACGGTTACAAAAACTTCCAAGATTACGTGTGGGCCAGCCGTAAATCCCAGTCCGGATCCTCATCCCATTCCTCCTTCTCGTCGGGTAATTCCTTACCCATGAATTCGTCGTCTTCGTCCTCCTCTTCGACATCTTCCAATTATTCTTATTGTCACGTGTGCGGCGGCCCTTCTTCTCGCCGATCCTCTTCCGTCGTGTTGAGACGCGATTCCGGGAGAAATTCTATATGCGATATTCCGCCCTTCGGTAACGCCACTCATCATCGATACAGTATCGTATCGATGGAACCTTGCATAAGGGAGGATGTCACGGAAGAATTTACGAGGGACGAAGATAATGTTTGGAGGCGGGAATCCCTGAATAATCTCGGCAAGAATTTTGCTACTCGTAAGGTCTCGTATGATGGGAAAGGTGTCCCGAGTTGCCAGAAGATACCCTGTTCAAGAAACAGGAGACATTCCGCCGTGGTCGAGACCAAGAATATGGCGGAAATTATGAAGATAAGCGAAAATATTCGTCACGGGAGGAATACCATATCGCGGAGACTTAGAGATACAAGTAATGACGCGTATAATAATTCGAAAAATAAGGATATTCCCGAAGGAAATGATGATATCTCCCCGCCCATAAACAGCGATACGGGCCACGATAAAACGAGCGAACTTATAAAAAATCGGCGCAAAGATAATTTGTCAACCTATAACGACGCATCTAAGATCGGATTATCGTATCCCCGTAACCAAAGAGAAGTGCCGCATCTTCCAGCTGTTTCCGGCGCAAAAGATCTTCCATTCCCTGACAAAGATTCCGACATGCAAGGGATGGCACCAATCGATTCCATTACCGATTATATAAATGTTACGAATAATAATTCTTCCTCCTCCTCTGACACCAACAAAGATTTAATCATTTATAAAGTTAAGGCCTCCCACCTCAATTTAGTCAAAAGTAGTACTAAAAATAAAGAAAAAATTCCTGTACTGATAGACACCGGCGTGCCACCATCTTCCAATTTAGCAGCAACTAACCCCTCACCAACAAATTTTTCTCTCCCTTTTAAGGATAGAATCGAATCCAACATTCGTCGCGACATTCCGTTTCTGCCAAAATCTTACAGCGAAACAGATTTACCGAGATGTGAGGACGTCGAAACTAAACATAAACTCATATTGACAACATTATCTATAGATTCTTTACTGAAGCTCCAGCACAATTCCTTCAAAGCATTCCCGCCCGATAACGGGGAACCTAATTTTAAAGACGTTATGACGATGCGAGCCATAGAGAGTAGCATGATGAAAAACAATACCCTATTCAATTCGCTATTCAATACGTTCCAAATTTTGGACATTTCCAATCTCACCATGACTATATTGATGAACGCGACCATTCTAACGGAGGCGAAGGTAGCTCGGCTATACCTGTGCAAAGAAAAACTGATCTCGCTCGGCGCATCGCTTCTCAAAAAGGGCTTCGAACCGGAAGTCAAATCCACTCATCCATCAGAACTGATAGCAAATCTCGCACTCAAATCTTCGGGCGATCATTTTTATCTGAAGGCTCAATTCGAATGCGGAAGCGGTAACGATACCAACATGGGCGATTCGCAACCTAGTCACAACCAGAACGAGACCACCATATTTAAGGACGACTTCAAGCTAAAATTCGATGAGGATGCGGATAGCCTAATAAAAGAATGTTTCTCCACGGGGAAAATATTTAATTTAAAGAACCCTACCAAGGTATTTATACTGAATTACTATTAATTATAATTTTATGTATACGCAAAATGAACTATCAAGAATGCCTTGTACAATCCTCAAATCGACGGTCTGACAGAATATATCCATGAAAGCGACAGTGAGAATGCTAAAATAGTGTCAATGCTTCTCGTGCCTATGATGCATAATGTTCACGGTAACAATGAAATCGTGGGCGTCATACAAGTGATGAATAAGGGTATCATGATTGACAAGGACGTTTATCAAAATAAAGTTCGTAAACACGCGGCGAAAGCTGGCCACGCAAATCAGTTTTTCGATATTGAGGATGAAATAGTAAATCGTTATTTTTAAAAAAAATATCAATCAGAGGTCCTAAATAGGAACCGAACCCGAAAATTGTATAAAGTTCCCACCAAAACCTGAGCCCAAAACCACTAACAAAAAAAAGAAGGAGGATAAGGGGGGGGGGGTTAACCGCTTTGTATTTTTCTATATGATTACGTTATTTATGACATTAAATGATTGATGTATATATTTTTTTAAAAAAGATACTCTCAAAATATGCCAATCTTTGTACCATAACATTCAAAAATGCTAAACTCCTGGAGACATCGCGAAAGGAATTCGATAGAAACAAGGTACTTATCTATATATATACAAATGATTGACATGTCCCGAAGTTTAAAACCGAACCCGATGTCCTCTCTTTTTAAGTTTACTAAAATTTATACAAGAACCCATTTTTTTAAAAAAAAAACATTCTATAGGAAACTATGAAGTGTTAAGCAAATTTGTGTATATATTTAGATATCTGCAAAATTAGACCTAGCCCAAACTCGCCCCGGCCCGTATTTTTTTTTAAAAAAAATTTCAGTTTCGGGCCCGGCTTTGTTGTATCTGGAGAATCCCATATGATATTTGGTAACTCGCAACTTTACATCATTTGCTGAGGGTCATTTTTTTAAATGTTAGAAATTACTGATTTAAACCAATTTTCGCCAATAAACTTTTGATTAGAAGAAAATTCCGAAATTCACAGTGCCGGATGGCTTCCATGACACTTTGGGAATACGTCGGTCAAATTTAAAAAAAAATTATTTGTCATCAGCAGAGTTGTTAAAAGATACTTTTTAAATGGATCTAGATACAGATACAACGTCTAAAATACTAGATACAGATTATTTAATCAAAAATCTATCTAGATACAGATACCACATTTTTATATCTAGATACAGTGTATCTAGATCCTTTAACAACTCTGGTCATCAGTAAATGATTTGGAATTTAATGTCACCAAATCTCAACAAGTATACGGACACATATAACATTATATTACTCTTCAAAATGTGGCGCGATTCCTTTTTTTTTAAAAAAAGGCGCCTATTTATTAATTAATTCCCCCCTTCCCCCGCCATTATTATGAGCACAAATTGAACGTTTCAAACGCAGCGTTTCAAAAACGCAAATTATAAAAAAAACGTAAACGCGGCTATGTTTAAATTGAAGCGTTTATTTTTATAACGTTTAAATTTAAAACAAACAAACAAAAAATGCTGTCCAATTTAAAAGTACGCGTTTAAATGCATTATTCGCGTTTTGAAACGTTGAATTTGTGCGCATGCGCACTACTGAATGTTCCCTAAATATTTTATTTAAAAAAAAATATTATTCATGCGAATATATAAAAAAATTCAACCTTTTGTTTTCTGATTTCGATTTAAGTTTTGTTTTTTTTTCGGTTTTTTTGTTTTTTTAAAATTCAGTTTAGTTTTTATCTGTTTGCCATGGAACTTAGGTCCCGCGAGCCCTGTAATTTTTTTCTAAAATTTTTTTTTAAGACCTACCCCCTTGTCCAAAATTTTTAAAAAAATTTACTGATTATTTTGTTATCCTAATGTCCTAAAAAGAGAAAAATATTTATTTTATCTTTTTTTTTAAAAAAAAAAGTCCAAACCCGGCTTAGTGATGTTAAATCACCTAACTTTGACCAACGTAAATATGGCGCGGTCAAGATTATCCCATAAAAAATTGACTTAAACGTCTAAGTTTAGCCTCAACTTAATGATAGAGAGAGAGAGAGAGAGAGAACATTTTTATTAGAATAAAAACTTGGCTGAGCCGTTTTAGAACTGGCCCAAGTTAGATGGCTACCCGGCCCGGTCCGGTTTTTTTCAAATCAGGCCCGAACCTTTTTACGCGCCAAAATTTATCGAATCATTATTTTTTTATTTCTATATTAAAAAAAAGGCATTTTTGGAGTTGCTACATGATCTGTACGAAGAACAACTAAATTTAGAAAGAGGAATAATGAAAATAATGAAGAGGGTTTTGTGGATGCTGAAATGCGAAAAATGCAAAGTGGTCATTCAAGCCAAGGATATCAATGTGAGCCTACTACGGAAAATCCATCCATATGTCATATGAGTATTCGGAATTTCTGGGGATTCAGAATATTTTAAATCCTCTGGGCTGAACTTTAGAACTACTTAACTAATTTATATTAATTTTTATATGGATTTTTCATGTTGAAATTAAAAAAAATTTTACTAAAAATGTCTATGGCTCAAATTTGACTGAAATTTATTATAAGGGTAAACAATCTACACATGTTAGAATACATTTCCGGATCAAGAGATTCCGAATCCCCACGGATTCCGAATTCTTTCTTTCTTCCTTTCTCTCTCTCTTTCTTTCCTTTCTTTCTTTCTTTCTTTCTTTCTTTCTTTCTTTCTTTCTTTCTTTCTTTCTTTCTTTCTTTCTTTCTTTCTTTCTTTCTTTCTTTCTTTCTTTCTTTCTTTCTTTCTTTCTTTCTTTCTTTCTTTCTTTCTTTCTTTCTTTCTTTCTTTCTTATATATATGTTAGCGTCAATGTGTTTTTTTTTCCGGCAACGTGTCATTTTTTTTTTCAACTTTAGATCATTTTTTTTTGAACGCGGTTTTTAAAAAAATCTGCGATTTTTCTGCGGAAAAAAAAAAAATTATTTTCTGGAATTTTAGTAAAAAATTTTAGGGGAAAAGGAGGCTCATCATTACTATTACGATTATTTGAGCCCCGTCCCGTCTTTCCCCGTATTTAAAACACGAAATTTTAAACATACAATTTTAAATATTTTATTTTAAATAATATCTTGTTCCCTTTTTTTAAAAAAGAGTCCCAATTTTGTCAACCGAACATTCGAGATGGTTGAAGAGGACGATCATAGCGCCGATGCAAATGAGTAACGCTTAAATCTAACAATTAATTCTTATCCGTTGTTAACTGTAATTTGTAAGCGTAAAGACGGTTAAAACTCCTTTGGTTCGTTCGTTGTAAAGGGTTCGTTCTGGTTAACGCTCCTGTTTGCTTAAGATCACATTTTAACATAAAGAAAAAAAGAAAGAAAGAAAGAAAGAAAGAAAGAAAGAAAGTAAAAAAGAAAGAAAGAAAGAACGTTTTGTTAAAGATTTTTTTTAAAAAGAATTTTAACTCTTCCCTTATTTTTATTGGCGGCCTATCTTTAAGAATTTCATTGTTCGAAATAAATTTGGCGTAAACATAATTTTCTTTAAAAAAACAATAACTCATTTTATATAAAAGACAAGTATATATTTTGGGAAGAAAAAAAAAATTGAGTGATAAGAATATTATATTTTTTTATTTGGAATTTTTCCAAGTAAGATTTAACGATTTTTTTTAAAAAAAATTAAACCTTAAGAGGAGAGGAGAGGAGAGGAGAGGAGAGGAGAGGAGAGGAGAGGAGAGGAGAGGAGAGGAGAGGAGAGGAGAGGAGAGGAGAGGAGAGGAGAGGAGAGGAGAGGAGAGGAGAGGAGAGGAGAGGAGAGGAGAGGAGAGAGAAGAGGAGAGGAGAGGAGAGGAGAGGAGAGGAGAGGAGAGGAGAGGAGAGGAGAGGAGAGGAGAGGAGAGGAGAGGAGAGGAGAGGAGAGGAGAGGAGAGGAGAGGAGAGGAGAGGAGAGGAGAGGAGAGGAGAGGAGAGGAGAGGAGAGGAGAGGAGAGGAGAGGAGAGGAGAGGAGAGGAGAGGAGAGGAGAGGAGAGGAGAGGAGAGGAGAGGAGAGGAGAGGAGAGGAGAGAAGAGAGGAGAGGAGAGGAGAGGAGAGGAGAGAAGAGAAGAGAAAGAGAAGAGCTTTCCATTCCTTTACTTTCTTCTCTTCTCTCCTCTCCTTCATTTTCTTCCTTTTTTTCTTGCAATTGTTTAATTTACTATTCGTAATTATACTAATCGAAATATACGTTCAAAAGATCCGAAAACGAATAATCGATTAGCTCGAATATATTTGTTTTCGAATCGACCTTCCTACTGGGTTTAGTCCCCCCCCCCACCCCCTCACCTTCTTCTCTCCCCTCTATATCTAATATGTCGCTTCAGAATAATTTCGTATCATTTAAATAAATTGGTGTATGTATATATATATATATATATTAGAGATATTTCAATTTAAAGACTTTAACACTATTTTTTTATTCTTCCTTAACCTTATTTAAAAGTATATATATATTTTTTTTATTGTATTTTATTTAAAATAAAAATATTAGCAAAATATTCTTCCGTTCCGCTTACAGAAAGGGAAGTAGAAATTCTTTAGAACTCAATGTCGTCACCACCAGAAGCTCGAGCTACCATTTGCCTATAATGCGAAATAAAGTATTCCCACTCCCATAAATATATTATTATTTTAATCCAGGTTTAAAGGTAAGTACTCATTAAGACTAAGATAATGGTATAAACAGACTTAGGTGGTTATGGGCATACAATGAGAAGGTTCTAAATGAACTATATAGGAAAATAAGGTTGAGAGTTTGGAAGTGATGGGTAAACGTAAAAGAGGTAGTGTTGTTTAACCACCTACCTTTAGTCAACTATAAAAGAGCAAAGCCATATTTTTATTCAGAAAGATTCTAGGGCCATAAAGTTAGAAGCCAATATGAAGAAGTATATAAATTAGATAAAAGAAGATAGCATGAAATATAACATAAAGTGGAGAGAGATATTGAAGGAGCTCTTATCACCATAAAATATATATATTTTTTTTTAAAAAAATAATAGATAAATTTATCATCAAACTCAACCATATCTAATAGCATCGGTGTTGAAATATTAAATCAAAAAAAGTTTTTTATAGGTATATATATAAATATATGTTAGAAAAAAAAATGATATCCATTTTATTTTACTTTATTTTATTATATACACATATAATTTGAAACAAATATAAGATAATTTTTGATTTTTTTTGCCACGCGAAATCTTTTTTAGGCGTATTAAAAATGACGTACAATAATACCTAGACTGACCACGCGTTCCTAATAATGCATTTGATAGGCGTCGTTGAAATGCAAATCAGCTGGACCCGCCATTTCTGGTAAACCTGCATAGTAATTATTTTCGTGTTTAAAAACTTAACTATTAAATCGATAACTTGCTTCCTTATTATCTCGATAATCAAAAGTTTGCATCGGACATAGGGAATAAATTGGCCTCTCGTTTAAAATTATTTAATAATGATAGGGGTAATCAAAATGGCGTCCCCAGCTGTTTTCGTTGATGCACACTTTTAATGAATGCATCCATCAGTCTAGGTATTAATATTATTATGTCATTGATATTTTTATAATTTGAAACAAATAAGATAATTTTTGATTTTTTTTTGTCATGCGAGATCCTTCTGGATTTATTACTGATAGACGACTTACAATAATATTTTTCTTAGGACCGTGATCCGGTCCAGTCCGGGAATATCGGTTCGGTCCGGACCGAAGAAAGTTTTAGATTCTTATCGGGTTCCGCTCCCGGATATCCAATTCTGCCCTTCCGATTTCTAGTCAGGTGAAAGTATAAAGCCCGCAGTTTTTAGTTCACAAATATAAACTTCTGGAGGTTTTTTTTTCTTTTTCTTTATTGTAAGAAGAGTGAATAATGGAACCTAGAAGTGAGGGTTTGACCCTAACCCAATTTCTACTTAAAATGGAGTTTATTTTTTGGGGAAAATTTATCGAACATAATTCAGGTCTATAAGAACTATTTCCCTCTTCTTCCTTTTTTAACGATCCTTACACGGCCCCGCTATAAAAAAAAAACCTACCGCGACTGGTAAATTATGCTGATTATTTTTACTAGCGTTAGACTGGAATGTCGTAATTTTTTTTTACATGCATCAACTTACTGGTCGGGCCGGATCTCTGGTGTGATCGCTGATTCTATCTTTAACATCGCCATATTCAGCCTTCACCGAATCCCTTTCTTTTTCTATTTACCAACTCACCCATGCTTCTATTCCCACCCCAACCTCTCCATCTCCATGACATAACCCCATTTGTCTAATTGGCACGTGATCAAATTTTCTTAACCCAACCCTTCCCTTCATTTTATCTTGAGTGAGACCCGTATTGGCGGAATTTTTTTTTCTCCTTCCTAACATGGTTCTCCCCTTTTTCCAATTTGCCTTATATAGGATCTGAGCACCCTATTTCTGTCACACCCGTTGTTCCTATAAAAATATCCAAACATTTTTGATTTATCAAATGATGAATTTCTTTTGTTTTAAAAATACTTCAGGACAAATTGTGGCAATCGACAAAATGGAACACCAAAAATTCGATTCTGACGACGAAGAATTATTAAAGGTTTTTATTGTTTATAGCAATAACTAATTTTTTTTCAAAAAAAAAACAGATGTTTTTATTGGTTAAATAGATTCTCACCGAAAAAAATATCTTAGTCAACATATAAACGAATGCCCTCATTTTTTTTTAAATATAACCAAAGACCTAACTTATAAGCGCGGAAACTTTTCTTTGACCAAATTTAAAACATTTTATTATACCTCGGCTTTGGCGCCAAAAAATAATTTTTGAATATAGCGATATTCGCCCAAACATTTATATAAGTATAAGAGGTTCGGCGCGAAAATGTTTTTTTGGCAGGGGACCCTAAAAAATTCTGCCAAAAAATTTTCGCAAAACCGCCGACCTCTCATAAGTTATATTATTATTACAATATAACGCGAACATTTACTTGAAAATTATTTGAGTTATATTTTTATATTTTGTTCAACAAACATTATCTATATATTTTATTTTTACGGTTAATAACGGGTAAACAATCATGTTAAATTTTTGCATTTATTCTGTTGACTCCAACATATATATTATCAATTTTTTTTTATCAAGATATTTGCCATATTCTGTGGATTGGTGTACGACAAAAGTATTCTTTATCTACAAATGGCCGATACAAACGCGATGAAATCGGTAGCACTAGAAGTATATTTAAGCATAATGTTTTTTTTAAAACATTATTTACAACCTGATTATCTGATTAGGAGGCGTCCTTAGAAAGAAAGAAAGAAAGTGGTGAACATCAAAAATATTTAAAAAAACTTAACGAAATAAGGGAAATAAATATTTAGTGTAAAAATAAAATAGTGGCCTAAATTATTTTTCCAAAGTTTATCAATTGAATATAAAAGTTAGAGAAATTATAAAATTTTGAAAAAATTTTAGCTTTAAAATTGATAAAAGTTGCGAATTTTTATGAATAAAAAAAGTAAGGCGCATGATAATTAATTTATATTTTTAGTAGCGTTGTTAAACGGCTTGTTTTGAGCCGATTTTTTAAAAAGGGCTAACTCAATATTTTAGCCGGAAAAAAAATATTGCCTATGCCTCGATATTTCGATAATATACTGGACCTTTTCTTTCTTTCTTTCTTTCTTTCTTTCTTTCTTTCTTTCTTTCTTTCTTTCTTTCTTTCTTTCTTTCTTTCTTTCTTTCTTTCTTTCTTTCTTTCTTTCTTTCTTTCTTTCCTTCTATGAGCAAAATCTTCAGGGCTTGCGTAATATTCATTCTGGATGAAATATTGAATTAGCCGGTTTTATATAAATTCGGGTCAAAACGATCCGTTTGGCGACACTAATGGGTGGTTGTATTATTTAAAATGGGAAGTATGAAAATAATTCGATGGAAAATTATTAATTAGAGAAATTTGCGAAGCTTTAAAAAATAAAATTTTTAATTCAAGATTTAAGACATGTTTCGTTTTTTTTTAAAAAAAGAAGAAAATAAATATATTTAGGTCATAGAAACTAAAAGAAAACAAATTAACATTTTCATTATATATATATTTTTTTTTTTAAAAAATAAAAAAAAAAGGTTTTATCGTATCACGTGAGAACACCGGAAGAAGATGTCGAAAAACTAATGGTAATCATTTGATAACTTTACTTATATGTTATAGCCCTACAATTCGCCCCGAAACCGGGTTCGACACCACATGCCAGATACGGGCCGGCTTAAGATCGGGCGGAGGAAATTGAATTTGCAGAACCCCCCCCCCCCCCTAATATATACAAAATCTAAGAGTTTAAAGCTATAACATTCTATTGCTTTTTTTTTTCTAGGCTGCTCAGATCGGGACCGCCAAAATGTATAAGATCGATGATATCATGTTTGACGATTACAGTTTAGGCGATATGGATATGATCAAAGCTGGCATCAGAATGTTCATAGATTCCAAATTTATCAAAGCATTCAAAATCAATTATCGAGTCTTCCATTTCTCTTCTTATTTATTTATTTCTTTTTTTTTATTTTCACATTTGTAATTCTATTTTTTTTAAGGTTTTATGCAGATGGTTTTTAACTACCCGTAAAAATTACCGAAAAGTTTTGTATCACAACTGGTGTCACGCGTTTAACGTAGCGCAAACGATGTACTCAATAATGAAGGTTTTTATCTTATTTTAAGATTTTTTTAAAAAATCGTTAAATAGAATTCGACAAAAATATCGAAAGTTTTCACAAAACTGGAATGGATCGCCATTATAGTCGCGTGTTTTTCCCACGACTTGGATCACAGGGGACTAAATAATTCCTATCAAACTAAGTATATTATATTTGTAAAAAAAAAAAAAATTGGTAAAGTGACACCTGTTAATTGATCATTATTTTTTTTATGAGAATAGACCTCATTTCAGTTAGGGGATTATAATCCGTGATGAGATGAATAGGAACTATTCTAGTCTAGAACTGATGATTTTATTCATTAAAAATGAATTTAAAATTGTACTTAAATAGGAATCAGATAGATGCCATTTTGTGGTCTGTGTTAAACAAATGGCATTTTAAAGTAAGGTCTAATCTTGTAAAATTTAGCAAAAATATCTTTAAACAATATTATGTTAAATGATAAATGCCATTATGCAGACAAAATGGCGTTCACAGATGTTTAGTATTTGAATACACTTTTAACGAATACATAGGAAATATGCGAGCCATCACAAAGAAATTAATTAATCTGCTGTGTCATTTTTATTTTGCCCATTAACTCACCAAAGGGGATTTGTAATAGTTTTTTTTATAAAAATTAATAATTCTAAGGACTCACTCTGCTCTTGAACAGCTGTACGGAAATCAAGCTACGATGGAATATCATCATTTTAACATGGCAATCATGATTTTACACACCGAGGGTCACAATATATTTTCGGGCTTGGTTCCTGAGGAATACAAGAATGTTATATCCAATCTCAAGATCGGAATATTGGCCACGGATTTGAACGTCCATTTTAAGACGAGAGACAGATTTTTCGATCTCGCTACTAACGATAAATTTGACTGGCGTAATAGCGATCATTTGGAGTTACTATTAAGCATGCTGATGTCAGCGTGCGATCTTTCCGCGTCTTTCAAGCATTGGGATACGCAGAGAAAAGTTTGTTTGTTTGCTTATTTTTTTTATAAGCACGGTTGGGAATTTTGAACTGATTTTGATCCAAAAAATTATAAAAAAATTGAGATTTTGGTTTCGATTTCTCTGTAAGGGGGAAATGCATTGTAAACAACTTACATAAAAATTAGTTTCACTTTTACCGTTTCCCTGACATTTTAAAAATTACTTTTGTTTCCGGAAAAATTTTAAAAAAAAAAGGAATTACGAGTTCCGGTTCCATGGGTACTGGGAGCCGTATTCCAAGCGCCATTTTTTGCGCGATTAAGAAAACTACAATTTTATGAAAACTAAATTTAGGCCGTCGATTTAGTTACCGCCGAATTTTATACCCAAGGTGACTTGGAAAAACGCGTATTAAAAATTCAACCCATTCCGGAAATGGATCGGGAAAAGATCGAAGATGTACCCATAGTCCAAACTACCTGGTTGAATAACGTTTGTTTGCCGCTCTACGAAAACTTGGCCAAGTTGGATCCATTCTTTGATGGTAATGAAAAAAATAATATATTTTACCATATTTTTTATCCATATGTAACGATTCAATCTAAAATATATTTATGAATAAAAATATTAGATTTATAATTATATTAATACATATTTACTAATTACCAATATACCATTCAACTCTTATTTTTATAAAAAATGAATGAATGTTTTATATTCCAAGATTTTCTAAACGTCACCTTTGTATACTTCAAATATTTAAATTTTTCTCTAAGTTCTAATTTAATTTTTTGATCTCACTCTATAACAAACAATAGCGGATAGTTGCACGAAAAAAAAAAATAGAACAAAACTTAAGGAAAAAAAATGTTTTGGATGTAGCATTTATATAAAAGTTATATTTTTCTTCTATTTGTAAACCGTAAAGTAATAGTACAGAAGATAAAATCGAACAGAGATACCTGGGTGGAGAAAAGGAAAAATAGCCAAGATATAAAAATGAAAGATGAAAATATCTGAACACAAGACACGATATCTTTAAACTCAACAATGCTCTTACTCAATATTTTTTTATATAATAACGGCCAAGAAAATAATGCAATTTTTTTTATATCGCAATTATATATTATTTACAATATACCAATCTTGGACAATTATATTTATATAGAATTGTATTATTGTAATATACTAATATTTATTATATATATATACTATATAAAATTATGTATAAAGTTGATTAATCAATTCAGAAAAAAAATAAAAAGAAAGAAAGCAAAAAAGAAAGAAAAAAAGAAGGATAGAAAGAAAGAACCAATCATACATCCAGCGTCTACATGAGCGGGAGGGGTAGGAACAGTTTGCATTCTTTTTTGAGGCGGTAGGGGGTAAGCTGCTTTAATGGGGGAAGCATAAATTTTTTGGGGGGGTTATCTGTCTAATTTTGAGATGAAATAGGACAAAATTTATTTCTGTAAAAATTAATACTTTTATTATAGTATTATTATAATACAATTCATCGACCAAATCTATATATTGCAAACAATCATACACATTGTTTTCCAAATAAACTATCCTTTTAAATGTAATTTAAAGGTTTAGATATTTCAGCAAGTTCATAATGCCATAATAATTAATTCATTGTAAATAATGGAGGTTTTAATTGAATTTATTATCTAAAAAAGAAATTCTTTATATTCACAAAATATCGATAGTTGGTAGTAGAGATAGATTAATTTAAGTTATCCTCTATAAATTCTTTGAAAAGAGTATAAATAAATAAATAGGTCGACATAATGATAAAAAAATTTTAGGGGGGTAGGCAAATGTTTTTGAAGGGGGTTTGCATCCAGTGAAAATTCTATCATGTAGACGCTGCATACATCCCTCTTCAATTATTATATATTATTCAATATTTTTATACTCATACAATATTCTTTGAGAATGTTTGATAACATATAAAATGAATATCAATACATGTTCGAGTTTTGGTTGGTTCAGGATTTGGTGTCTAGAAAAATAATCACATAGAAAATAAAAAAAAACAATTATATTTTAAATATTTAAAATGTTTTTCTTACTCTACAAATATTTTGGATCTTATTTAATGCTGTTCAAATTTCTTTATAATTTTTAAAATAATCTTTAAAAAAAAATGATTGGAACCCTAAATCTAAAATAGGATCGGGGTTTTGGTTCAGTAAAATATTGGGGTTCCAAGAGATCTGGTTTAGGGTTCACAGCCTTGTCCTAGTATAAAATAAAAATCATAAAATTCTCTTTTGATTAATTACGAAAATACTATTAATGTTTTATATTTACGAGTTTTTTTAATAGCAGCTGTAACAAATTAGTATAAATCTAATATATTGTTTTAATAAACGAAATTTTGCAGATTTTCTGAAAATTTTTCTATATTCAAGGAATAGGAAGTTATTAGACTAGGATTTTTTTTTAAATATTGATATTCCACGTCCAAAATATTTTTATTACGGTTCGTATTTTTTTAATTTGCTTATTTAAAGTCTCATGTCAATTACGTATTTGAAAAAAAATACTTATTTCATTCATTTTTAATTATTTTGTCGTTTCAAAGAGATATTGAAACAAAGAAGTTTAATAAAGATAAATGTTAAACTATCCATTATATAAATTAAGAATATTATAAATATAATTTTAAATATCACTTTGATCAATAAACTTTTTAAATAAATCGGAAATTGAAGAATGATGATTAGCTTAAATTTATAAGTTTTTTATACCTGGTTGCAGCCTATTATCAGATTCGAGTTGATATTTGTTGTAATTAAGGCACATATATCCAATGATGCACATAACTAGATTGGCGATTCCTTGAATAAGAATCCATCATAGAAGCTAGTTATAGTCATTTTATGGGTTGTGCGTTGAGAAATATCTTATTTATAATTTTATAAGTGCAAATTAATCAATTGCCAATCACTAAAATGGCGCTATAGCGGACTCGTATGTTTGGACCCTTTTATATGCATATATAACGCATGAATAGCAAATTTAGTATCATATACACATCAAAGACAGTCTATAGTTAAAATCATTTTGACTCCTAAAAAATTTCAAAATGAATGCAGTATTTTAAATAGTTGTTCCTAAAAACTTTCTTAAATTTTATTTCAGGTTGTCAAAAATCATAAATTATACAAACCATATGTAAATGTCAATCACTATTGATTTAATTTCTAACATTCGCTTTATCATAAAAACAGCATTGATTTTAATTTTTCATTATGGATGATTCCTTCGAATACACTCAGAAATTTAACCTAATGATGTATAATCTAATCGGTGAGGGTAAATACAAATACAAGCTAGAAGCTCAAAATAATTCTAATGATGAAAAATCTCAAAATATGATTATTTTACCACATACAATTTTAAATTTTATGCGACCAAAAACGCCTGAAGAAATAAAAATTGAAAATATGATGACTGGGTGCCCAGCCAAAACTGTTATCAGTTTTGTTATGGGTGGTGTGATAGGTGGAGTATTTGGCCTTTTCACCTCTGCTGTAGATCCAAATTTAAATTCAAATTATTACAATACCACTAGTATAAATGTGACTGCTAAAGAAGTTTTGAAAGATATGTATAGCAGGAGTAAATCCTATGCAAAAAATTTTGCAATATTGGGAGCCATGTTTTCATCAACTGAATGCCTTATTGAGTCTTACAGGTATAGTTGTTTAATATAAATATAGCCAGATTTTTGCTAAGAAATGGAGAAACCCAGATATATACTAGTTTGAGTTGATTTTCATAAATGTCTAATTCAAGATTTTAGCCAAAAAATATTGCCTAAGCTTCTAGATTTCACTAATTGATATCTAGACCTTTGTGCCATGTGTGAGCAAAATCTTCAAGCTTGCGTAATATTATTCTAGATAAAATATTGAGTAAGCCACTTTTAAAAATTGGCTCAAATTGAGCTGTTTAACAACACTAATTTGTACACAGGATAAATTTTTTATAAAAATTTTTATAGAAGTTATTTAAGAATATCTTAAATTTATTAATGACTATAAAATATTGATAATTTCTAATATTCAAATTAATTATATTAATAATTTTATGAAAAAAATACAAATTTTTTACACTTATAAAATTTGATATATAAATTTTAATTATAATTTTAAAAATAATGCTGAAAATTTAGCTTACTATAAAAATATGAAAAAAAATACTAAAATGGGAAAAATTATCATTAAGAAGTATATTATAAATTTATAGTGTAAAATCAATCTCCTTTGGAATTAAGTTAATTTTTCAATGACGTACTTGATCTATTTTCATAAATAGTACTTCTCAGTATTGTTAAATTATAAAATTTATGTATTTTTTTAATGACTAACTCAATATTTTATGCAAAAAAATATTATGCAAGCCTGAAGATTTTCTTCATAGATGACACAAGGATTTGGGCATCTATTAGCTAAATCTTGAGACTTAGTCAATATTTTTCTAGAAAAAGTATTTAGTCAGCCATTTTTAAATATTATGCCATTTAAAATAACTGTTTCTTAGGTAATTTTTATTCTTAAAAAAAAAATGTTATTTCATTAGAAGAAAAATAGTCTAAAATGTGTTTGAAATTATGTGAAGCATCGTTATCATTTCTTGGAAACCTTTTATACCATAATTTGCATTCAGGTAGCAATGCATCATAGGATACTTTAACATTCTCACAATAAAAATTTGTCAAATATTTAATTTTTTCTTTAACAAGATTTGAAATTGGAAGGATTCTGCAGTAATAAGATTATATTTAAGTGCTTTTTGATTAATTTTATTGCATCATACATCAGATCCTTATGTTATGACAATCAAATTATTCCCTACATTTTGTTCTATAATTTTAATTTTTAAATAGGGGGAAAACTGACTGGAAGAATGCAACACTCTCTGGTGGCATCACTGGCGGAATCTTAGGGATGAGAGCAGGATATAAAGCTGGTTTACTAGGGGCATTAGGCTTTGGAGCATTTTCCACATTAATCGAATATTTTTTGAGATGACATTTATATATCGTATCGTTTATGATATTATTCACCATATTTATTTATTAAAAAAATATTTTTTAAAAAAGATATATATTTACACGTGTAATAAAACTAGTCTATTTTGTCTGAGTCGAATTACCAATCTTTTTTAAAATGTTTTTTTTAAAAAAAATATATATGGCGCCCTCTAAACTGCCATATCCATAGCGATCTTTGAGTGGCACTTATATCCAACCACTTCAAAGTCTTCGAATTTAAAATCGTCTATATTCTCAACTTGGCGATTGATTTTTAATTTGGGAAATGCATAAGGCTCTCTTGATATCTAAAATTATACAATAAATAAATTTTTAAAAATGGTAGGCTTTTTGAAAAGAAAAAATAATCTAATTGTTTTGCAACAATACACTGTCCTAAGCTCAACCAAGTTCGCTACGAATTTTATTGGCGAATTTGTGAATTTCTATGTTATTTAACGCGAAAATTGGTCATAATAAATTAATTTCCTAAACTTAACGAGAAAATTGGCGTGAAATAAATTTTATTTTTTTTATTGAGCTCGGAGATTTGTATTACATGGAAAAAATAATTAACTTGTTCTTCTAGGGGCTTTATATGGTTTATGTAAACGTGAGCATCACCAATAGTATGAATCAATTCACCAGGCTAGACAGGATAATATTGGATTTATTAATAAAAAATAATAATCTCAGGTATAAAAAACAATGATTATTCTATGGTTTATAGTAAGACCAACATGACATTCCATAATTTGCATTTATAAATAAGACATATTTTCCCGGAATTGAGAATATCGGATTGGCCTTTTTATTGACATGTTGGTTTAGAAGAAGGGTTTAAAATATCGATAAAAAGGCCCTAAGAAAAAAAATAAATTAAAAAAAAAAGAATTGATTTCGTCTCTTTTGCACAATTTATCTCTCCTATGACTCCTTCCATACATATTCAAACTTTCAAGATAAAATGTGCGAACGAGGGCTAGGCATTGTAATTAATTTTATTGTTAAAACTACCGGTTAAAGTTACAAGCCAAATTCTTAGGTAACTAGACTAGGGATGTGCCGATATTTTATATCGGATCGGGCCGATATTTCTTCTATTTTAAATATCGGTTATCGGCAAATATTAAAAAATTTTCGATCCAATCCGATAAAAAATTGCATTTTTAACAAAGATAAAGTTACATCTAAAAAACTTTATTTTTATAAATAAAATCGAAATCCATTTTTATGTTTAATTTTTTTAATAGTAATAATTAGTTAATAAACATACAGCCAAAATGTTATTTTTTTCGCATTCTGTTTATAAAAGGGTGCAAAAATCTCTTCAGAATCTGCTTTTAGTGAAGCTAGTGATATTTACAGTCCCCATCACTGCAAACTGACCTCTGAGAAATTGGAAATTTTGGTATTTCTAAAAAGAAATTGTTATATATTAATTTTAAATATTTATTTCAAATTTCATAATACATTTGTTTATTACTTATAATGTAAATAGATTAATGTTATTAATTATTATATAAATAAGTGATTTTTCAATAAAAATATTTTATATAGTTTTAGAATAGCAATCAAATTGAATATAAACTATAACTGATTATTGTAATATTTTAAATGACATATGTTATGGTATAGTTAAATTATAGATGCTATACTAATAAAGAGTATATTAAACATTTAAACCATGTATATTTACAGAATACAAAATTAGATAAGATATTGGATAGGTAATTGGTCGATATCAATTTAATATAGGATCGGCCTCTAAAAAGTGGTATCGGTACACCCCTAATAGACTAGCTATATCTTTTGTTAGTTATTTGGCAAAAGTAACTTTAAAAACACTAGGAATTCAAACATATAATAATTAATAGCACAAGAATTACCTTCAAATTTGTTATATGAGCAATCATATGGGTGAGTATCGAATAACTCGTCACATTAAATGGAACGCCTAATCCCTTTAAGAAGAATAAGTTATTTTTTATAAAAAACAATACAAATGTCTTTTACCATATCAGCTGATCTTTGATAAAATAAACAAGATAATTCACCATTTGCAACATAAAATTGGGACATCAAATGACAAGGAGGCAAAGCCATCTTGGGTATATCTAGAAATGCATTTAATTATTTAATATCCTAAATAAATTAAAAATAAAGTAAAATTTATAATCTGTAAAGCTAATAAATATAAGTTAATCTTATAAATAATAACATCATAAATACCTTGACTTGAAGTAATATTTTGATGGGTTATGGCATCAGAATTGGAAATTAGAAGTGAAGTCAAATTTATAATTTGTGGAGCTAATAAATATAAGTTAATGTTATAAATAAAAACATCATAGATACCTTGATTTGAAGTAACATTTTGATGAGCTATGGCATCAGAACTGAAATTTAGAGAGGCTAATGTTAAAACATTGATTCAATGATAAAATATTTATATAAAAATGATTAGCATTAGAAGTTTGAGCAGCTACTAAGTTTTGACAGTCTAAGGAATGTTGAATGGTGACAATTAAATCGAGGCCAATCATTAATTTGGCCCTACCTCCACATCTTTTGTGTCACGTAAGGTAAACGGCCTTTTTTCCACTTGTATGGGTCAAATATTCATGCCCTTGGTAGCAATCAACCCACTATAATCACTATTTATTATATTTGGCACCATAGTGACTCCACTGAAAACCATAAACAGATCCGGTAAGAGACCTAAATAGCAAGTATCATAATATCCAAAAATGAGAATATTTACACTAATACTCACACAAATATTCACAAAAATGGCCGCCATATTTTGATATGATTCCAACTGTAGCAGATAACCTTAAAAATTATCTTAAATATATACAACTTGAAATAAAAGTATTGAACCATTTTATATATTTATTTATGTTTTCAGGAAACACAGAAGAAGAAGGACTATATGTGCTACCAAGGGCATGAATATTTGACCCATACAAGTGGGAAAAAGGCTGTTTACCTTACGTGTCGCTAAAGATGTGGTGGTAGGGCCAAATTAATGATTGGCCTCGATTTAATTATCACCATTCAACATTCCTTAGACTGTCAAAACTTAGTAGCTGCTCAAACATCTAATGCTAATCATGGTAATTATTTTTATATAAATATTTTATCATTGAATCAATGTTTTAACATTAGTCCCTCTAACTTCCAGTTCTGATGCCATAGCCCATCAAAATGTTACTTCAAATCAAGGTATTTATGATGTTTTTATTTATAACATTAATTTATATTTATTAGCTCCACAAATTATAAATTTTACTTCCCCTCTAACTTCCAGTTCTGATGCCATAGCCTATCAAAATTTTACCTTAAATCAAGGTATTTGTTTTTATTTATAACATTAACTTATATTTATTAGCTCCACAAATTACAAATTTTACATTAGCCCCCTCAAACTTCTGGTTTTGCCATAGCCTTTCAAACTTTTATCTCAAATCAAAATAATTCAGGTGCTTATCATGTTATTAATTCAAATGTTGGAATTGAAAGTATTCAATACACAAATTGACCATTACTAAATTATATTTATTATAGGTAATGGTGATCTCCCTTTAGAAGTAGCCAATGTGTAAATAGATTTCCATCAAAATATTGGTGGTAAAAATATGTTTATAAGGCTATTTTTTTTTAAAAAAAAAATTAAATATAGAATGTCACATATTATAATAACCCTTGATGTTTAATATAGCTAAGTTATTTTTTAATTATATTTAGGCATGACCTTGGAATAATTAAAAAAATATTACATGTTTTTTAAAGATAAATAATAAATCAATAATTATTTATTTGCTTTATTTATTTTTAAGTATCTGGTTCTGTCTGATCTTTTCATAAATATGATTTTTATATTTATTAAGATCCTCAATTTATAAAATCTCTTCTCTTTTTCCAAAACTATTTATATCGATATGCTTATCAAAAAGATGATAGAATACACTATCGTTGCAGAAAGGTTGGCTGCAAGGCTTCATGTAAATTTGATGGAAATTACACAACATCTGGTTTGCATGAACACCAAAATGAAATCGGTCATCTTGAAAAACTGAGAACTCGCAAGGTTCTAGAGGATATTGTTGCCAAAAATCTTCTAGAGACAAGGGATAATATTTATGAAAAGGCCTTGAATCAAAGATGCCTGGAAACACCCTCCATCAAAATGTATCCAGAGGCAATGCCCTTATTCGTTTCAATTAAAAGTACAATCGACAAGTTGTTACAAAAAAATATGCCCACTTTGCCTCAGTCTGTGGATGAACTAGTATTATTACCAGAATACATCACCACAAATAAGGGGGAGATTTTTTTAATTAATTATGATAATAATAATAATATGCTGGTGTTTGGTACATGTGAAATGCTAAAACTTGTAGAAATATGTGATGGTGATAGCATTTACATGGACAACACCTTTTATGTTGTTCCTCGACTGTACTGTCAATTGTATAGTGTCCATATAATGTATCAAGAAGTTATGAAACCGATTATATATGCCCTCCTCCCCGATAAAAATAGAGGGACATATATTGAATTATTTCAAATTATCTTGCAATTTTGCTCGATGAAAAATATCTGATTCAATCCTCAATTTGGATAAACTGATTACGAGGCCGAGGCTATATTATTGGGGCTCAGTTTTGTTTTCCCCGATATGTCCTTAAAAGGTTTATTTATAACATTGTATATTATAATTAAAAAAATTTGGGCTGTTTTTTTTTCACTATTCCCAGGCTCTTTGGCGTAAATGTCAGGCACTGGGTTTAGTTAGCAGTTATTAGCATAATACTACCATTCATCAAGTTTTTAGACAAATGACAACTTTGCCATTGAAAAGAAGAACATATTTCCGAGGTACGGGCATCATGCCATGCTCTGTCTGCTGAATATTTTTTGCTCAAAAATTTTATGGAGTGTATGGATTTTACATGGCTCGGTGTTAATGCCATATTCCCCCAAAATATATGGACCAGGTAATTAAAACATTTAAATATTATCTTTACTTATAATCAATTTAGGTATCAAGTTGATGGCCCTAGAACAAACAACCACTTGGAGGGGTATCATCATGCCCTCAAGAGAAAAACAAACTTGACTCATCTGAATATTTATTGTCTGATAAATATTTTAAAAAGACACCAACATTCGAGTGAGGTCTTACAAATGAATAGTGGGTTGAATGTGAGGAGATAAAAAATACGATCAATTAAATATTAACATTAATAATCTGACTCGTATATATGAGCGTACAAATGAAATATATCCTTTTTTAGATAATGTTTCATATTTTATAAAACAACAATCATAACCTGTATTTCTTTATATTTCTTTTATATATTTACATTTTTATTATTCTCTTGCTATATATGGTATACTTTATTAACATTTTTATAATTATTTTGTATAATAATGTAAATTTAATATAAAAATTTATAAATAATTTTTTTTCGCGCATATTGTATACATATTTCAGTAATAAAAATACTTATATAGTAGATGCTTTGACCTAAAATTGTTGCTTATAGAGGGCAATGACATATAATAATACATAAAATGATGATTCATTCATTAAATTTTATTTTATAAATTAAAAATTGTAATAATATTTTTCTAAACTAACCCAGAGGATTCCAGGCTGACATAATCATTCTCCTGTCATCTGGATTAATTTTCAATGTTTCTATAATATTAGCTAACTGATCAAAACCTTGCCCACTATAATCACTATGTTTATTATAATATTTGGCACCATAATGTCTCCACTGAAAACCATAAACAGGTCCTAAATCACCTATAATAAAATCATTTTTTTTATATGAGAAATTAAAATATATTACTCAGGTAATACAAAACCTTCTTCTCTGTCAGCTAAACCTATTGAGTCCAGATATTCTTTGGAGGCATTTGCATTCCATATATTAACACCTTTAGCCTTTAAAATATGTGAATCTGTACACCCATTTATAAACCATAGTAATTCATGTAATATTCCTTTAAGAAACATCTTTTTTGTAGTAAACATAGGTAGGGCATCTTACATTATAACATATATAAAGAAATATCATTAAAATTATGATAAACAATCTTTCAAGCTGTATCTAGATTGCATGCCAAAATAGGATAAACAATCAATGCCTGTTCTATTCTTTTTCAAAGTTCCATTTTCAATGATAAACTTAATATTATTTAAGTAATGTTTTTCTTCGATACTAAAATTAAAAGTTACAAATAAAAATATATATAATTAATAGAACTTTGCATAATCTCCGTTGATCATATTTTGTAATTTTTGAATTTACCTGAAAAATAGTTAAAGTAAAACTAAAAGATGACTTGCCTGATTTGACATTTATATCATATGGAAAATGATATTAGAAAGTAATGACATGTACTTTCAAAAAAAGTTTAATTAGTAGGGATTGATCTTTTTTTAATTATTTTTTGTATATCTATGATAAAATAATGAAAAAGAAAATTTTTATATATTTTTCGTTAAAATTAAAATATGACTTTGCACCTTATTATATATATAATCATATAATTTTTCTTGTGATATTTTAATAAAGAATTTTATTTCTTAAAAATTATATTTTGATTATTTAATTCTTTAAATTACATTTTGTTAGAAATTAAAAATTAAAAAAAAAGGATTAATTATAAAAAGGTTTTTAATAATATTTAAGATCGGAGAATTAGTTAGATTTTTCCCCGTAAATTATACACTTAGTTTGAGATAGTCAAAGGGTGGATCTCCCCTATCACTAATTAGTATTTTTTTATAATTTAACAATTAGAGATAGTGGAGTTATTCCTCAATGGCTTGGTGACTTGATGGCACTATTTATTTAAACAACATAAATTTATGTTTTTTTAGATACCAAAATGTATACATTAATTAAAGGCTCATGCTATATTTCTTATAACAGGTATAAACTAACATATATATCGAATTTTACAAGTAATCATTACTATTGAACAAGGAAGAAACGTTCAATTTGAATAATTTAAATATAATAGAAAATATCGTCTTTATTTAACGTATATATCAAGAATGAAATAAAATGAATAAATTTTATCTGTCTCTATATCAAAAATAATCATTCTTTATATATCTCGTAAATCAAATATTTATAATCACGTTATACAATTAACAACCTTTAATATATTATTACAATCTAAATATATCTTTTTTTGGCCTTAAGTGAAACATTTGTCCAAAAGTAATATTAAACATAAATGTAATTGAAAACACCACTTTAAATACATAATGTAAGTTGTATCATACAACAATTAGGATTGTAAGCCCCAATCAATGTTAGATTTAAAAACGTCGTGTGCTACTTTGGTAAATATGATAGTGTTAGTTATGTCTATTTTACATTCTGATATAACTATCAATAATATTAGCTATCTCTATATAAGGTTCTACTATAAAAAAAAAGAAAATTTGATCTAGAATCTTTATTAGTCACTTCCTTATTTATATATATAAACGATAGGTTTGAAATAAAGCAACGCTTTTTCTTCCCTTCCTTGGCCTTAAATTTCGTATGTCACTCTATTAAAATTTTGTTTTAAATTTAGGTAGACTGAGTTATTTTTCGGTCCAAGATACAAATGAACTAGATTAAGGGAGGATATTATTATTGGCGCGATACTCAGTTACTAACATCTGAACCCCCATCTAATACAAATCCTAAAGATTATCAGACAATTGTAGGCTATGATCGTTAGAATTAACGAAATCAAGCTACCCCCTAAAAGATTACATGTCAGAAGACTTAAAATCAGCCTTACCCACTCAGTGTTAGCTTGTAGTTGCGGTTGATCCTCTTATTTTATCCCCTTCATTACCCCTGATTAGAATTTATGAAATGTCCAGGCTCTTTATTTTACGAAACCCAGGAATGTTAAATATTTAGATATAATCTAATTTTTCCAAAAATATATTGAATTTATATCTCCTCTAGAACTATCTATTTTTTTCTACAACATCCGTTTCATAAAAATTGTGCTTTATATATACATTGTTTATTTGTAATTGAATTATATCATAAAACCTTAACTTCCATTATATTTTTATTTTGATTAATACTATTTGAAAATAAATAATAAAATGCTTTTTTCTTTATTATTTATGCTGTAAATAGAGTAAATTTCAGCAATCATTGTTTGAAGTTAATATCTATTATGCTCGTTTTGAATATCCGTATTAGCTTGTGATAAAATAGGTCTTTCTTTAAAGGGTGAATTTTTATATTAGTGCAATAGATAAAACATGATATTTCATGGAATTTCGTTTAACTATCCATGTTCCAATGGAAAAGATGAATTTGAAATTTATTAGAATAATCTAAACATTTAATTTTTTAAATTCTAGGTCCAATTAAAAATTAGAAATAAGGTGACAGACAGATTTAATAAATATAATTTATCATTTATCTACTCATATTTTCTATTTCATCAAAAATACTAATTATAGCAAAAAAAATCCCGATCTATAAAATTATAAATTCTGTGTCATTCTCAAGTATATAGTCAAGAATGCAGTGATTTTAAATCCAACTTACGTGAAGGAAGAAGGATAGAAGGATTAATAAATGTATTGGATAAAATAAATAGCTAAGCAGCATGTTTTAAAATAATCTTTGAGGTGGAGGGAATGACTGATTTTAATTTCAAATTACAATATTTCTTATTGTAAAAATATTATTTATATGATTTATAAGATGATTGAAAATCTATTTTTAACTGACACATGTCACTAATTATCAGCTTATCATTTATTTTATGATGTAAATGTATTTCCATAAAGTTATAATAAGAATTAAAAAACATCATCTGATCGAGGTTTGTAAAATGAAAATCGCTCAAAGATTCTTATTATCCATTAGATATGCTCATTCTTCTAATAAAACTGAAAATATAGGGTTTATTGGAATAGGAAATATGGGATATCCTATGGCTCAAAATATTTTAAAACATGATAAATTGAATAAGTATAATTTAGTATTATCGGATAATTCTCAAGATGTAATGAAACAAATTAAAAAAGATTTTGATAAAAATAGATGTGACGTAGTTGATACACCTTGTCAAGTTGCAGAAAAAGCCCTTCAAATAATCACTATGTTACCTGATGGTGATTGTGTTGAAGAAGCTTATTTAGGCTCTAATGGATTAATTAAGTTAACTTTAGATAAAATGTTAATTTTAAAATTTTGTTAGAAATCTGACCAAAAATCATTTATGCATAGATAGCAGCACAATTTCACCTTCAACAGCTCTAAAGATATCAAAAATATTAAAGAAAGAAAAACAAGCATCATTTATTGATGCCCCTGTATCTGGAGGTAATAACAAAATTAATAAACTTAATTTTTTTAAATATGAATACTGACAATCTGGTGTAAGTTAAAAAGATATATTATTTTATAAAAGGTCTATTCCTGCCATTCAATTAGTTGCCCTGACTTGAATATCATGATTAAAAAACAAATTTAAAATGTCACTTGAAGCCCATTGGATAGAAGTATTAATACATTGCTCTATTGGTTTCTTTAAAAACTGGTTAAGCATATTTTTTTAACTGTAGCCTAATCATGAGTTAGCTATCTGTTTTGAATGGGGCTCAAATTGGCATCATTGAGTAGAAATGTAATTCAAGGCATGGCTATGTTGACTCATAACAACACATCATGTTTTTTGATTATTTTATACATAATTTTTTAATAATTTAAAATCAACAAAAATATAATTTATTTGTAATTATAATGTATAAAAGAATAATTAAATTGTAAATCTTTATAAAAAAAGAGATTTTTAATGAGCTCACAATTAGTACTAAACATTGCCCATAATTTAAGTAGGATGATAAACTTTTAAGGAATAAAAAAGCAACTTAGTCATTCATTAATGATAGAACAAATATTACCTTGGCCATGAAAAATGGAAAATTTCAAAGGTCGTTTCTTGTTTTGGCATAATCATTTAAAGCTTTTTTGCGTAGAAAGTATAGATTTTTTTATATGGTTTAAAGATAAATAGTAGATAGAAATTAATCTCTGGTATTTTATATGGATATCAGATCAGTGAAAATTTGTAGATCAGTTTGGGTGCAATCTTATAGACAATATTCATTATACATTTTTTTTGGAGATGTACAATACTATACTTTACATCAGGCCAATACTTGCTATACTGGTCAATGATTTTAAAAAAATGAAAGAAAGTGCAAATTTCTAAACCAATAAGAAAGAAGTTGCTGTTTATTTGTTTTTTTCTCTTCCATACTTATTTTATTATTTTGTCGAATAAACTTTATATTATGATTTGAAGGGCATTTTTATGGCTAAGTTTAATAATTGGAGTAGAAAATGGATAATTTAAAATCCCCCCTCTTTCTAAACATTACTTTATAATAAATAATGTAATTAATTTGATTATATCAGTTATTTGTTGTGTTGTAATTGACCTAAAATAATGGAATAAATCTTTACTATGAATATACTTTTAAATAATTATTATAAAAAAAATGGAATTTGTAATCAATTCAAAAAAAAAAATTAGGAGTTCCAGGTGCCGTAAACGCTACATTGACATTTATGGCAGGTGGGAGTGATGCTGACGTGAAAAGGGCTTCTGCCATAATAACACCTTTTATGGGGAAAAAGTTGTTTCATTGCGGTAAAGAGGTTGGCAGTGGGCTAAGCGCCAAATTGTGCAACAATATGTTGCTCGCAATTTGCATGATTGGGACAAGCGAAGCCCTTAATCTGGGGCGCACGTAATAGCTTCACATTTTAATTTTTTAAAATTTTATTATCATTAAACTCAACCTAATGGCGTTTAAATGGCTGTCATCGGACTTTTTGTAAAGAGCTCCACATAAAAATTTTTGCCCAAATTTTTTTAAATATCCGATATAATAGAAATGAGGAATACTTAGCATAGCTCTGCTATATCCACAACTAGAAGGGTAACGCTTGTTAATATATTTTCGTTTGTTACATTTATATCATCTACATTGATTAATTTATTTTGTAACCACAAATTAAACCTGTTTATGCTTTTTTTAAAAAAAAACAATAGTACTTATAAAATAAAACTACGCTATTATTTTTAGCTTTGTGAGCTGCATATTACCCTTGTAGGAGTAATTCAGAAATATCATATTTCACAAATATAACTAGCCTTGAATATTGATAAACAATTGAAATTAGCTGTATTTGCAGTAGCATTTTTAATGTGAGAGGGGGTGGGGTGTGTGATCCTTTTTTCAAAATATGTCTTTCTATCTATTATCATCTCCATGAAGTTTGCCATATAGTTGAATGCGTTAATTCTAAATTATTTAAGCCAATATTTCCTGGTTAATTGGTTATGTATTTATAATTCTTCACCTGGTTTGGTATACTTCTTGGCCCATAATTCTTAGCTCTCCTTAATGTATGGCCCTACCTTTCCAAATTATATTATTTTCTTTCTTGATATTTCTGCTTGGGAGTAGTATTCGGTAGTCAAAAAAGGAATGTCCATATTATATCAAAAATTTTATATTCTTTAGATTGATTAAATATGAAAGAACTTTTTTTTAAAAAAAAATTTGTATAACTAATTTTTATACATTCAATTAAAATATGACCTTTTTAAAACAAATAGTTAATTAATTTTTATATTATATCTTTTTGAAAAATCTTATTTCTTTCAAAATTTATATTTACATGCGATTTAAATTTAAAATAATTTGTATAAATTCATTATTAATAATATTAATATTATTCCTGATGTGAGCTAAATTCTTGTAGCGCACTGCCCTTTTGGTTGGGAATAACACTGTTCTTCGGGTGAGTTTTATGGGAAGTTTTATCCGCAATATTAAATTAGGCGGCACAGTTATCTGTTATGCGTGAAACGACGAACTCCTCCTCTACACATTTACTGACTCGTTATCAAAGTTTCTGAGGAAAACTAGAACCCGTACCCAGAAGTGCTATTGATGATATTAGGCTAGGTTAACTTTGAAATTTGCTCTTGATTTATTCCTTGAATTCAGGCATCAACCTAATGTTTGCAACGGTCCGGTCCCTTTTTTCTAAAATAAGATCGGACCGATGGACCGTTAAGTCAAATGAAACCGGACCATGGGACTATCGGTCCGGTCGGTCCGGTCCCATCAATTTTTTTATCAAGCCATAAAAGTTTATTTAGCATTAAATTTATTTCAATATTTTTAATTATATCAAAATCATTTTTATTATATTATACACAATACATGCCTAATATTACAAAAGAATATGAATACAAATTTATTGAATACAAATTTATTGAATACAATTTTAAATCAATTTGATTTACATAATTAATTAGATTTATACGTAAATATATATTGCGATAGATATTTGATTATAAATAAATTATATATAAATAAATATTTTAATTATCTTCTAAAAAATCTAAAATTATTCCATTTTTAATCCAAGATTCAAGTGTCATCATAGATTGAACCATCTTCGGATTCATTCTATTTCGTTTTTTTTTGTTATTTTATCACTAGCTTTGGAAAATATCCGTTCACATGCTACAGATGTAGTCTATTGTGGGAGATAGTCCATAGCTATTTTGGCTAGAATTGGAAATCGATATTGATTCCCTTCCCACCAATCTAGTATGTTAGAATTAATTGGATATAAAATATCAGATAAATAGCTTTGGATTTCATTATCATCTTTCTCTGCTGATGTCCCAGTTCCCATGAGCCTATCCCTGGCTATTCTCTCCCTCAAAGATATTTCCTTAAATAATAATGATCAGTAAAATAAAGAAATATTTTTATATACTTTGTTTGACTTTACGCCACTTGCTTGCATATTTTTCAAATATTTCTTTAAATTGAATAAAATTTTCATGAGTATTTAATAAATTAACATGTGAACCTAAGTAAAAAGAAATTTTGCAATATACTATAAATAATTAGGAATAACTTTTCTAATTCTGGGACTCCCAATATAGGACTCCATACTTAAAAATGTATGAATATAGTGATTAATTTTTTTTGTGACTTTCATTGTAAAAGGTGCATCAATAAAAGAGGGGAAAGAATTAGAAGTAAAAATATTTTCAATATGTATTTGTATATTTTCCATTAGCGTAAGACATATGCCTAAATAAGAGAAAAACTATTTAAAAAATTATATAAATATTCAACCAATGGTTGGATAGGAGGATCCAGATAAATCCAAGGTGGTTTCATAGAATGGCTTAAATAAAGGAATTAGTTCCTCTATTCTATTTTTGTCTCCATTAGTCAAGTGTTGCCAAATGTTTCATATTCAGAATAACAAAAAGTTTTTATTGTCTCAAAATTCTAATAATAAAAAATATATAATCCTATTAAAAATATAGATAGATAATTTACTGAAAAGACCTTCTCCAACATCAAATATGTTGAATTCCAGCGGGATTCAACATCAATTGGAATTTTTTGTCCATTATCTTTAAGCAATACTCTATATTTTTGAAGTAATAAAGGACTTTGAGATATGTTTGTTGTAATTGATCTTACTTTCACAATAACTTCATCTATATTTTTCAGAATATCCTGGCAAATGATGTTTATCACTAGCTATGGACTATCTCCCACAACAGACTACATCTGTAGCATGTGAACGGATATTTTCCAAAGCTAATGATAGAATAACAAAAAAAACGAAATAGAATGAATCCTAAGATGGTTCAATCTATGATGACGCTTGAATCTTGGATTAAAAATGGAATAATTTTAGATTTTTTAGAAGATACTTAAAATATTTATTTATATATAATTTATTTATAATCAAATATCTATCTTTAATATATTATATTTACGTATAAAACTAATTAATTATGTAAATCAAATTGATTTAAAATTGTATTCAATAAATTTGTATTCATATTCTTTTGTAATATTAGGCATGTATTGTGTATAATATAATAAAAATGATTTTGACATAATTAAAAATATTGAAATAAATTTAATGCTAAATAAACTTTTGTGGCTTGATAAAAAAATTGACGGGACCGGACCGTTGCAAACACTACATCTAGTGTCGTGACATTTAATTAAAATGTTTCTCGTTTTGAGTGGCATATCATCATTGGAATAATTGCGATTCGGAGGAAATGGGTACCCAGATATGGATCAGTGCTATCGAGTGACATGTACAATGTAGTGTAGATCTATTGATTATAATTATATTTTTCTTCCGATGATATTTACGAAACAATTAAACGACATGTAGAGATTAATCATTAGAAACATAAATTTTTCGAATATGAAAATTATTTTTGACAAAAAAATTTCGGCGGCGCTCCAGCGTGTATTTTAAACGGCAGCGTTTCCGGTGTGATCAATAATATCCGCACTTTATTATAAATGACTCCATTGTTAAAAGAAAAGATTTTCTAATTTAACGACTCAAGTTATTAGAAATCGCGGACAGAAATGTACTGGACCAAAGTGTCCCTGACTGAAATACCCCAATTTTTAAAAAATAAAATAAAAGGCTAGAAAAGGTGAAATTTTTTTAAAATTGAACTATTTTATTCGGTGTCTCTTTGTCTAACCATGGGGAATGGTAAATGTAACGCGAGTTCGTCATCGAAATATAGGCAGTCGCAAAGACATTCTTGTTATTGTATGGAAGGGGGGTAGTTGTTTTGAATTCTTCCTTTTTTGCTAATCTAGATTTCCTTTCTTTCTTTATTTTTTTAGTGTTGGGGGAGGGGGGGGGTGATGTATCGTGATTGGCTTTGGTGAGACTAGATGGGAGGAGATGGGGGGGGGGTATACGTAGAAGATCCTGTGTCTAAAATTTTGTTTTTTGTTGTGACGTATCTAGTTTAGGATTGGATCCCAAAGTCTTGACCGATATCATAAACGAAAGCACCGGAAAGAATTGGTGCTCGAGTAGTTACAACCCCGTGCCGGGTATGTTATCCGGCGAATACGCCAACATTCCCCCTAATCTGGATTACGCCAAGGGCTTCAGAGTGTCTCTCATGTGCAAAGTAAAAAAAATAAATAAATAAAAAGATAGAAATTCATATTATCATTTTTCCGTTTTCTACTAATTTTTATAAAAAAAAATTAAGGGCTAACATGCCATAACTATTATAAAAACTAGTGTTGTTTAAAAAGCCTGATTCGGGTCGATTTTTAAAACCGGGTCCGATTAAGGTTATAACCCAAAATAATAGAGCGTGAGCCCGGTGATTTTTCTCACGGGTGGCCAAAAAGTTCGGGCTTCAACTTTCCTAATCTTGAAGGCGCACGCGCACGCACAATTATTTCGGCTAAAATCGTAATCGAGCCCGGTTTTAAAAATCGACCCGAATCCGGCTTTTTGACAACACCTATTTTTAATTTTATGAACCGGTTTTTCTTTTATAGTCGTTAACTTGAATAGTATTTTTTTCCTTCTTCTTACAGTTATAACGGAGTACTTTGCCCATACCCTAACACCCTAATATGACACGTATTAGCTATGAATCGTGTTACGCACACGAATAGTTTGATTTAAAAAGCCCAAAAATTTTGTAACAAACACTAATTAAAAAATAAATTTACACATTTTATCTTAGAAAGCTTTTAAAACTCCTAACCTCGGACGCTTTTTGAAAATGACTTATTTTTTTAAATATAGTGATCTCGAATCGTATCAAATTTTGATTGGTTAAATATCACATGTTTTTTGCTACTTTAAAATTGTAACTATCCCCATTACCCCCATCTTCCACCGTTAAAGTTATAGTGGTTTCCTTTTTTTTATTCAACGTCCAAAGTTAATTTTAGATATCGTAGCAATAATGGGATATTGCAATATTGCAATATCAATGATACATATAATAATAACTTGTCAGACTCGTTCATTCGCCTAAATATGTTTCGATACAAATCAGCTGGTATCACGCAGTCTGACTTCGTTCACTCATTAAATTGTCCGAAATTTTTAGGGTGGGTATTCTACACATATCGGAATGCATTTCCGGCAAAATCAGATGTTTAAATTTAATAAAACGCGCTCAATTAATGATTTAAAATTCAAAACCTAATGCGCATGCCCGAAAAACCTATTTAACTATCGCCTTACCAAATTTTTTAAAATGCTTCCAAATATTATACGACAAACTAAAATAGCATGTCGTCAGCTGATTTGAATTCAATGTCGCGTCGAAATGCTCTTTGATGAATGAATGGTCGTCCATTATTCTTAACGAAAAGTTAATGTTTTCTAAACGAATGTACAAATTTAATATTAGATAAACTGACTTGCATTCTATTTTCTAAATCAGGATCTAACGCTAGGCCAGAACATAGCCAACAATAAAAGCGTGTACTGCCCTCTCGGAAGCGTGGCGCACCAGATTTATAAATATCTCAACGCTAACCCCGACGCGTCGCAAAAGGATTTCGCCTACGTTTATCCCTTTATATCCGGAAAATTGTTGGGAAGAAAACATTAATAATTTCCGCCTGGATACTTTTCCCCAACAAAACTAAACAAACAATAATTTAAATTTATAATTTAATTTTTTAATTAATGAAATCAAAATTTGATATGTATATTATTTTTTTGATAATCTCCTTTTAGTAATTATATTTATCGCCGGAAGTTGTCACTATTGGTTATATAAACTCTGGATCATGCGCATATAGCCAAAACGTTGACAATGATAAAAGTTTTTTCTAATTGCTCAAAGCTAACTCCGGTGCACCCCTGGAGGATTGTGCCAACGTGCATTCCTTTTCTTGCTGAGAAAATTGTTTTATTTCAAGGCTACGCATATAAATATATTGATTTTCTTTCCGTCTTTTTCTTTTGACACCAAACAAAAATTTACTTTTTTTTTTAAAGAGAAATTTAATATTTTTTATGTTTTATTATTAAATTAGATACGTATTACTTATTTTTTGATATGTATTACTTATTTTTTGATACGTTGATATCGCTTCCTTGTTCATTAGTATTAAATTATAACCGGTGACAGTATTTCATTTTTTTTTACAATTACATTATTTATTTATTTTTTTATAAACTTTGGAAAATATTTACACATTTATCGTAATTAAAAATTTTTTTTTTACTTTATGCTATTTCCAAAAAATGTGAAAAGTTTCAAAACTTTTCAATTTTTAAAATTTTCGAAATTTATAAATATTTTCTTGAATTATGTTTCGGATATGTTTTATTCATTTAAAAATAGCTTATTTATTTATTTTGGTTAAAATTCCTTAATAAAAATTTTTTTTTTGATATTTTGAACAAAACAGCCTTAATTGGAACAAAACTATCATTTCTGGAGTAGAAAATTGACTGGGGAAGATGATCTGCAAAGAAGGGTTTTTTTTAAATATAATACAAGTAATTGATATTGTGATTGGTGGTATGCAAGGCCCGATCCGATCCCAGCTACCCGGGTCCGAATTTACTTTGGTCTTGGGTGAGCCTAATTTTTGAAAATCATTTTGGTTAGGGCTATGGCAAAAATTTTGAGCAGCCCTTTTTTCTGGCCGGGGCTCTAATGACATTTAGTCACGATGTGGATCTCTAATTGTAACGTAATTACTACTCTCAAATCTTATATCTACTTTATGATTCCTTCGTTCCACTTTGAAAATGGAACTGTTTATTCTTTTCCAATTCCCATCTGTTTTTTTTAGGAATAAGATTAAGTTTAAAAGCAACGTATAATATAAATTTTTTAAAAAAAATTATGATACGCAAGGCAAAGTAGAGGAAATCAATTTTATAGCAATAATAAAAATTTGATAATTTAAAAAAAAAAAACAATGACTTAAAAATAATTCATAATATTTGCGGGAAAAAAAAATAGGGAAGTGTTGAAGGACTAAATTTATTTTTTAGAAAAATGTAACATAGCCAAAGACTGGCAATAAAGTGGACGCTAACGGCAAAAACCTACCCAGTAGTACTTTCTCTTCTCTAACAAAATTCTGGTTACGCCTGTGGACTTCTACTTTAACGGATCCATTCTACCATATCTTGTTCTCTGTCACTCTGTATCTGTGCCATATTTCATTTTATCGGTTAAAGATCTGAAATAGTAGGCATGGTACTAATTTTTAAAAAATTGACTTTTTCGCAAGAAACAAGGCGCCATTTTTTTTTTTTTTTATAACAGAATCATCAAAATCTTGATGTTGTAAAAGTGGTAAAATTATATTGGAAAATGAAATTAGTTTCTATACTTAAAATAAATTCGGGTCTGGCTTGACGGAAAATATTATTCATATGTTTAGGATTAGAGCTTTTCGGGAAAAATCTAATAGGGATCAATCCTGACAATTTTTTTTAAAAAATAATAATTTCTAAGCTAAAGCCGGGCTTGAAAAATTATGCCCTATGCAAATCACTAATCTCAGTTTCTTAGAGAAAATTTTAATTTAGTATATATATATATCGCCGCTTTTTTTGCGGTATTTGAAGTGATTTGTTCAGTTAAACGAATTCTTCCTCCATGACTTTAATTTATATGACCAAATAGGCATTCAAAAGTTAATAGGAAAAGTAACGGTGTTATGCATTATGAAATAAGAATTTTGTAACTGAAAAAAAAAGCATAAATTTTTTTTAAAGCCGTTTAAAAAATTTATAATTCTAAATTATATTTTTCTTAAATAAAAAATGAAAAATGTTATAGAAATATAGATTAATGTTAAAAATATTCCTAATTACTCGTATATAAACTTACATTTGAAAAAAATACAATTGGTGAATTAAGGAATGGAAATTTTTTTTTATAATTTTAAGAAACATATTTAATTTTTTATAATATAAAATTGGGTCTTCTTTGGGATTCGAGCTGATTTTTCGGTGACTTTTTCCGTGCTTGACGTGAACTCCCTATGCATATTAAGAAGGGATAACTAACACCCCATTTATTCTATTTTCAGAGGTAGCTTTCAAGTAGAGATCTGCAATTCTACATTTAAATAAATTCGGGCCGGGTCGGTTAACTTTTTTAAAAAAAATCCGGTTCGGGCCCTCCGGCATAACTTTTTTTAAAAAGAATTTCGGGCCGGGCCGGGTTTGAAAAATTAGGCCCGATGCAGATCACTACTTTCGATTATTGTTGTTAAACATTTTCGATTTGAAAAACGATTTTTTTAAAATAGACTAATTCACTATTTTATCAATAAATAAATATTACGTGGAACCTGGAAGCCTTTAATCATAGCTACCATGAGAATTTGGGTATATGTTAGGAAAATCTCGAGATGGGAAACATTTTTCTGGCAAAAATGTTAAAGTTAATCCTAGCTCAGTTTTTTCATTCTTGTTAAAGAAGTAGTCAAAAAATGTGTTAGAAATTATGAGAAAGGCATCTAATCGGAAATTTTTATGTACCATAAAGTGGAATTCCGCTAGATATCCACCATGGGACCCTTTAACAATCTCGCAATAAAAATCTGCGAAATATTTAATTTTTGTTTTTGATTTTAAAAAATAGATTTGGAAGTAGTATCGTGTTGTTAAAAGGCCCGATTTGGGTAGATTAAGATGTTAGCCAAAATAATGAGGTAAATAGAGATCCAAACCTTTATGTCACTCTATCAGCAAAATCTCCAGCCTCAGATAATATTATTTAGGCTAAAACCTTAATCAAAAATAGACACAAATTCTCTAGAATTGGTCTTATAATTTGACTGAATTCTAAAGGAGCCTTAATAGGCTAATGGTAACAATACCATACCAAACCAGGATACCTTCGCCAGATCAAAAAAAGAAACTTACTATAGAATTTTTTTGGGGGGGCAAAAATAATAATACTATTGAAAATCCTATTTAGACACATTTTTATTAAATCTAAAAATACTTAATTGAATATTTTCGATGTTTATCTTATATAAAAAATTTGTATATTAAATTTAATTCCGCATTCTCGAGTTCTAGTATTGAACGATTATTTAGTATATGACAAAGGTTAAACTTTCTGATGCTCGCTCTAGACTTGGGGATATTATTGCAAATTTTTATGTCAAGATTATTTATTTATAGAAATAGAGATACGCAAGTAATATTTTATAAAAAAAATCTTAAGTAGCTATAACCGAGCTACTTTTTTTGTAAAATAGCGGTAGCGATATGCCGTTACTTTTAAAAGTAGCGTTTAACAACATTGCCATAGGATGAAGGAATAAGTAATATTTAAAAAAAATATTTTAGCTGGCATCTGCATTTTTTTGTGAGGTGGAGGTGGTGGTTATATCCGTGCTTAACCCTCCCCCTTCTAATTGCGCACACCAATAATCATAATAATAAAAAAACGATGACGCCTCCTTGCGGATTAAATATTATAGAATTATATTAACTTGGGTTAAAGATTTTTAGTATAATCACGTTAAATGATTTAATACCGTATCTAATATTAAATTAAAGGAAAAATAATTGTTATAAATTGTATATTTATGTTTATGTAATATTTGTTAATATTAACTAAAATAAATCTTAATCAAATATTTTTTTATTTTTAATTCACTATTTGTAAAAGATTTATTATAAAAAAATACTTATAAATTTTATTCTAATGTATAAACAAATTGTATTTTAGTTTTAGGATATAATTTATTGAATGATATGTTGTTAATTCATATTTTATTTTTATATAAAACCTTTTATTAAAATCTTAAAACGCTACAATTGGCCACGAATTAAGTTTAAAGCAATGACATGTATGTCATTCGTAATTAATTTAAAGGTAAAGAGACGAAGTAGTGTTGTTAAACGGCTAGATTTTTAAATACGCTTAACCCAACATTTTAGCCAAAAAACATTATGCCAGCCCGAAAATTCTGCTCATAGATACCAGAAAGGTTTGGACATCTATTAACGAAATTATCGAGGCCTACATAATAAATATCATTTTGGATAAAATCTTGCCTAAATTGAGCCGTTTAACAACACTAAGACGAAGGATACTGAACTATGCCTAACGAAGACTCGAAGATAGTTCTTAAAAAAAAGGGAAGAAACATAAAGTCAATTCCATATTTTGGAAATCTTTAAATCGAAAGTTAACATTGTATATAATTTATAACTCATCTTTAAAAGTAAAAAAAAATAATATTTGGATCATATTTTTTTTTTGAAAGAAGATTTATTAGCGTACATAGGCACCGAGAATCTAATTAATATTAAGAACCTTCATTATCCGAATAATTTAGAGAGCATTTAATTACATAACTTTACTTGATAGTTTGGAGGAAATATTTAAAGATATCTTTAGTATTTTCCTGCATCGAAATAATTTTTTATATAAGAGGCAGAAAAACTAAATTTTTCGATCAAATTAAGTATCTGCTTACATGTAATTTTAAATCGCTTGATAAACTTTTAAGGGACATTTTTATCTCAAAAATTGCCCGACGACAATATCGCTTTTGAAGATACCGTACATTTAGCGATCGCGCTTTCTTGGAAAAGGAAACCCAGGTAGAAGTTCACAAATTCACTAAGCATAAGCCGACGAGAGATTCCTAACACACGTGTTTTAGGAATAATAGTCATAATAACGGTAATAAATTCAAATAATAATAAGAGTCATATGCCAAGAAATTCAATCGTAATAATTAAATCAATAATTCTCTTAAATGACATGATGGAAGCTAGATAAGTAATCGAGAAAATTATTGTGAGATATTAAATTTCTAAAAGATTATCTTCCATTTTTAATGATATATAAACGACTACACAGTTGACTATTATTGTTTATGCAATTATAAGCACTCAACAGCTGTAGTAATAATCTTAAATAAGATAAACACGAATAATAGATGCTGGTTAATTTGCAGTTATAGCCACGACACTCACAATAATAACCTATATGAATTTATTATGTTAGATAAATTGATAAAACAAAAACACTAAAAATCTTTAGAAGAAATTATGCAACTATATTGAAGCCTTGTACAAATGAAACATTTTGTAACTATAAAATAAGAACCAGAGTGATATCATGAAAGTAATTAAGATTTTATATATCA